TTGCCCTTTGGCATCCCATCGGCTGTGCCTCGACGGCTCGCTTCTTTGCTTCTGGCTTGCCTTCTGGCTTCTCTTCTGGCTTTTCCTCTGGCTTTGGCATCGTCTCCTAGAAACCGCGCGGAATGCGAAGTCACGTCAGTCACCAGTCATGAAACCCATGCACATGCTTGTGGTCAATCCCTTCTAAGAGCATGTGACAGCCCACGAACAAGTAATGTCTTTGCTACATTGTAAAAGCTTAGCCAAACCGCCTGAACACACCTCGCTATTGACATGTCGCCGAGTGAAACCGGGCGTCACGAGAATCACATGCCGAAGGAAACCAAGTAAATCTGTTAAATTATGCGTAGCCAGCTGGTAAGGAGTGGGGGTATATTTATCACACCGAGCGCCGCAAACGAACCGCAAAAATGGAAGCATCTCCTTGTGACACTGGAGGGATCGCCGCGAACAAGCAAACAAGTGAAGCACTTCGCCCTGTGACACCGGGCGCCGCGAACAAGAAACAAGCGGAGGCATCACCCTGTGACACCGGGTACCGCGAACAAGCAAACAAGTGTAACTCTTCGCCCTGTGACACCAGGCGCCGCGAACAAGAACCAACAGTAGGAATCGCCCCGTGACACCGGGCGCCGCGAACAAGAACCAACAGGAGGAATCGCCCCGTGACACCGGGCGCCGCGAACAAGCAAACAAGTGAAACACTTCGCCCTGTGACACCGGGCGCCGCGAACAAGAACCGACAGGAGGAATCGCCCCGTGACACCGGGCGCCGCGAACAAGCAAACAAGAGTAACACTTCGCCCTGTGACACCGGGCGCCGCGAACAAGAACCAACTTGAGAGGTCGCCCTGTGACAACGGGCCCAGCGAACAAGCAAACAAGTGTAACACTTCGCCCTGTGACACCGGGCGCCGCGAACAAGAACCAACTTGAGGGATCGCCCTGTGACAACGGGCCCAGCGAACAAGCAAACAAGTGTAACACTTCGCCCTGCGACACCGGGCGCCGCGAACAAGAACCAACAAAAGGAATCGCCCCGTGACACCGGGCGCTGCGAACAAGAACCAACAGGAGGAATCGCCCCGTGACACCGGGCGCCGCGAACAAGCAGACAAGTGCAACACTTCGCCCTGTGACACCGGGCGCCGCGAACAAGAATCAACTTGAGGGACCGCCCTGTGACACCGAGCGCCGTGAAAAAGCAATCAAACGGAGGGATCGCCCTGTGACACCGGGCGCCGCGAACAAGCAAACAAACAGGAGGAATCGCCCCGTGACACCGGGCGCCGCGAACAAGAACCAACAGGAGGAATCGCCCCGTGACACCGGGCGCCGCGCACAAGAACCAACAGGAGGAATCGCCCCGTGACACCGGGCGCCGCGAACAAGCAAACAAACAGGAGGAATCGCCCCGTGACACCGGGCGCCGCGAACAAGAACCAACAGGAGGAATCGCCCCGTGACACCGGGCGCCGCGCACAAGAACCAACAAGAGGAATCGCCCCGTGACACCGGGCGCCGCGAACAAGCAAACAAACAGGAATCGCCCCGTGACACCGGGCGCCGCGAACAAGCAAACAAAAAGGAGGGATCGCCCCGTGACACCGGGCGCCGCGAACAAGAACCAACAGGAGGAATCGCCCCGTGACACCGGGCGCCGCGCACAAGAACCAACAGGAGGAATCGCCCCGTGACACCGGGCGCCGCGAACAAAAACAAGTGGAGGGATCGCCCTGTGACACCGGGCGCCGCGAATAAGCAAGCAAGTGTAGCACTTCGCCCTGTGACACCGGGCGCCGCGGATAAACAAAGAACCGTTACAATATGGTTTTATGTGACACCGGACTCCACAAACAAATCAAAACCACGTCGTCTCATGACAATGGGCCTATTAACAAGTTGAGTAAGTGCTGCAGTAAATCAAGAGCAGCCGTACGAAATGAACGGCAGACACACAGGTCCTGCGAAGGCCAGACACCCCAGCAAGCTCGCCAGTTGAGTCGCCAGGCTCTGCGCTCCGCTCGGCTCATGGCAGATCGGAGTCGCGACAAAACTGCTTCTAAAAATGGCTGAGCAGATGAAGATCCTCTAATGACAAAGTCGGACCGCAAGTATAACGTGAGTGGGCCTGTCTTGCATTAAATATACGTGTTTAATCTCTTGCAGGGCGGGTTGGGTATCGTTGACCCGGCAACATGCCCAGTGTCACCTGGAACAAGTTGTATGCATGTTTGTATGCATGCATGCATGAATGCATTTATGCATGTGCGCAGTGCATGTGTATGTGTAGGTGCATGTACCTGTACATGAGTGCATGTATGTACTGTAATGTTATAGAATGTTATGTTAGATTATGTATGCATGCATGTATGTATGGACGTATCGATGTATGTAATGTATGCGCATGTGTATGTGTATGTGTAGGGACGTATTGTCGTGCAATGTGAGGTAATGTGCTGTGATGTTATGTATGTATGCATCTATGTATCTAGGTATCTTTGTATCTATGTCTGTATGTATGTATGTAAGTATGTAAGTATGTAAATATGTAAGTATGTAAGTACGTAAGTATGTAAGTATGTAAGTATGTAAGTATGTAAGTATGTATGTATGTATGTACGTATTTATGTATGTAAGTATGTATGCGTGTCTATGTCTGTATGTATGTATATTGAACTGTAAAATTCTAAAATTTCTATATTTCGGGGGTCCGATGAATAGAATTTTAAGAATTCTAGATGGTCCCAGCCCAGGAGGGCCTGGCCAGGACCCTTGATTTTTGGAATTTTAAGATTTTGTAGAATTTTTAGAACTTTTGTAATTGAATTCAAACAAACTATAAATTCTAAAAATCAGACCCCCGAAGTATTGAATTTTTGGATTTTTTAGAATTCAAGATGGTCCCAGCCCAGGAGGGGCCTGGCCAGGACCCTTGATTTTTAGAATTTTTAGAACTTTTAGAATTGAATTCTAAAAATTCTAAAAATTCTAAAAATCGGACCCCCGAAATTTAGAATTTTTAGAATTTTTAGAATTGAATTCTAAAAATTCTAAAAATTCTAAAAACGGACCTCCGAAATTTAGATTTTATAGAATTTTTAGAATTCTAGATGGTCCCAGCCCAGGCGGGGCCTGGCCAGGACCCTTGATTTTTAGATTTTTTTTTATTTTTAGAATTTTTAGAATTGAATTCTATAAATTCTAAAAATTCTAAAAATCGGACCCCCGAAATTTAGAATTTTTAGAATTTTTTAGAATTCTAGATGGTCCCAGCCCGGAAGGGGCCACGCCCGGACCCTTGATTTTGAGAATTTTTAGATTTTTTAGAATTTTTAGAATTTTTAGATTTTTTAGAATTGAATTCTAAAAATTCCAAAAATTCTAAAAATCGGACCCCCGAAATTTAGAATTTTTAGAATTTTTAGAATTCAATTCTAAAAATTCTAAAAATTCTATCAAACGGACCTCCGAAATTTAGATTTTTTAAAAATTTTAGAATTCTAGATGGTCCCAGCCCAGGCGGGGCCTGGCCAGGACCCTTGAGTTTTAGATTTTTTAGAATTGTTAGAATTTTTAGAATTTTTAGAATTGAATTCTAAAAATTCTAAAAATCGGACCCCCGAAATTTAGAATTTTCAGAATTTTTAGAATTGAATTCTAAAAATTCGAAAAATTCTAAAAATCGGACCCCCGAAATTTAGATTTTTTAGAATTTTTAGAATTCTAGATGGTCCCAGGCCAGAAGGGGCCAGGCCCGGACCCTTGATTTTTAGATTTTTTAGAATTTTTAGATTTTTTAGAATTGAATTCTAAGAATTCTAAAAATTCTAAATTTCGGGGGTCCGATTTGTAGAATTTTTAGAATTGAATTCTAAAAATTCTAAATTTCGGGGGTCCGATTTTTAGAATTTTTAGAATTTTTAGAATTCAATTCTAAAAATTCTAAAAATTCTAAAAATTCTCAAAATTCTACAAATCAAGGGTCCTGGCCCGGCCCCGCCTGGGCTGGGACCATCTAGAATTCTAAAAAATTTGAAAATTCTAAATTTCGGAGGTCCGTTTCTTAGAATTTTTAGAATTTTTAGAATTGAATTCTAAAAATTCTAAAAATTCTAAATTTCGGGGGTCCAACTTTTAGAATTTTGAGAATTTTTAGAATTCAATTCTAAAAAATCTAAAAATTCTAAAAAATCTCAAAATTCTAAATATCAAGGGTCCTGGCCTGGCCCCTCCTGGGCTGGGACCATCTAGAATTCTAAAAATTCTAAAAAAAAATTAAATTTCGGAGGTAGAATTTTTAGAATTTTTAGAATTGAATTCTAAAAATTCTGAAAATTCTAAATTTCGGGGGTCCGATTTTTAGAATTTTTAGAATTCAATTCTAAAAATTCTAACAATTCTAAAAAATCTAAAACTCAAGGGTCCTGGCCAGGCCCTCCTGGGCTGGGACCGTCTAGTATTCTAGAATCGTTCGATTTTTTAGACATCAATTCTCGGTCCTGGCTGGGCTTTTCCTGGGCTGGGACCATCTAGAATTCTACTAATTCTAAAATCGGACCCCTGAAAACTAGCATGGTTAGAAACCAATTCTAAAAATTCTAAAAATCGACAAATTGAGACTTGGTTATCAAAAGGCAACATGCAGCGTTCATATTATACATAATGTTCCCTCGCACCTCCCCCCCCCCCCCCCCCCCCCTCCCCCCCCCCTCCCCCCCCCCCCCCCAAAAAAAAACCTACGTAATAGACGTCGGGCGGGGGGGGGTTAGAGGGGGGGTTATCCTCTATCCTCTAGTAAGTATCCGACACGCCGAGCAATGTCGGCGGATATATATATATATATGTATACATGTGTATGCATACATACATATATATACATAAATATATATATATATATATATATCATGTACCCCCGCCAAAAAAAAGAAAAAAACGAACAAACAAGAAGGAGCCCATATGTGGGTAAACATGGAGTGTTGGCCTCTGTTGCCGTTAAGGTGCGGGGAATTCTTTGCCAAGCCGCTGCAGAACGAGCCCTGGCTAGAGGCCCGCGGCGGCAATGCGACGGAGTCACCCCCTCGTCTTGTGTTGAGGTGCGGTACCTTTCTTCTTGTTTGGCTTCAAGGGAAACCAACAGGAAAACCAAGATCCAAAAAGGAGAACCAAAATCCATTTGGTGCAGCAGGAAGCCCTTTTGGTTCTCTGCTTTTTCAGGCTACTACCAGAAGCCCCGCATGTCTTGGCCGTTGTGTTTTCTTCAAGACGAAGCAATCTGCCTGTTGCATCGAAGCGAGCAAAATCATGTGGCTCTTTACATATCTTTGGCTAGACTTAAAGCTTACCATGCCCAGTGGGTTCGAGTTGCCACGATGGTAACAAGCCTTGGTGACCTTCCCAGGGAAATGGAAGCACTGGGATGTTTTGATTGTGACTCATGTAGGTTGCAATGGCATGAGCCACGAACCACAAGCAAAACGCAAAGGGCAGATGAAGGTTGATACGGGGACTGTTTTCACCAAAACAAGTAAGCTGCAAGCCGGCTTTGGTTTCACAAATGCATACGCAAGAAGATTTGCCTCCCAGTGGATCAGAGCTTTGAACCGTTGAAAGCAATCTCGGCCCATCTCAATTCCTATGCAGGTCGGAGATTCAATCCCATGCCCAACCAATCATGCATTGCCCCAGTGTGTGTGTGTGTATGTGATCTGTTCTGTTGTTTTCAAGGTCGGAACTTGACATCTTGATGGGCCCATGGATTGGATCGTTTCAGGCTTGACTTTCCCTTTCACCTGCTCCGATCGTTTTGCACCAGCATAGGTGTCCTTGGCTTAGTGTCAGAAACTGATGGGTTTGGTTTAGACTGGTTTCAACCAGGTGCATGTTAACCTGCCCCCCATGATCGAAAACGTGATGATTCATCTAGGCGGTTGAATCCGAGCAAAACATACAAAGTTCGAAAGAAAGTGATTTTCTTCCTTCTCCATCTACCAGGGCCATCGTTTTTTTCCTCCAAAAGGTCTCCTCGGAAAATGCGGGCCACGGATTTCATCCGCAGCTCCATAGCGATGCCTTTCGAGGGCGATGCGCCGCTGGTGGGCGGCGGGAAGCTGTCGGACCTGGTGGGGAATTACTCGGCCGGGGGTCTGAGATTGGGAGTTTGGCTCAAAACCGTTTTGGGATCCCATTTTGGTTGGGATTGGTAAATTCACCACCCAGGAAAGAAGACGCTCGCAGACTTGCTGCTCAGTGAATGAGAAGTGGAACCCGGAGAAGAAAAAAAGCCATCCATCTCCGGTCAGGGTTGTGGGATCAAGGGGTTGATCCAACCACTTCTGTGATACAAGGGAATCTCCCCCTTTATATGGAGGGTTAGTCTTTGGGAAGCCCTTTTGTTGTATCACAGAAGTGGTCATTTCCCACAGCCCTGGTTCAAAGCCAATGGGATCCCATTTTGGGATAGGTGAATTCACCACCGATTTTTTGGACATTTTTGGACCCTATTTTCGTGGGGATTGAATCGGATGTTCACTGGGGGGCAACCGGAGTTTTGACCCATGGCCATTTGGATTTGGACTTCGGGGGGTCGTTAGACATGGCTCGTTTTGGTTGGACCCCCCAAAGTGGGTGTTGTTTCCCTTGAAAGTCTCCTTTCCTGTTTCCTGTTAGGCGCATAGAGCGTTTATGTCTGCAAACAAAAACACAGAAAAGGTACTTTAAAAAACGCCTACAATCCCCCTGAATCCCCCTTGCCTGTTTAAACGTCACCTTTCGGGCCACACTCAGACACTCTCCAATGAGTTTGAGGGGATGCTTCAGGGAAATATAGTGAACCCTGTTGTTTGGCTGGGTTTGGGGGGTACCTGATGTCTGTTTTATCCCAGAAACAAGCAAGCAAATGGGAGATCTCCAAGCATAAAGCCAGCTGTGGTTTCTCTCCAGAAATTTTGTCAGGCATCTTTGTCAAAGTCGTTGAGCTCTATGAATCGGGGATTCTATCTTTCACTGGGTTCCCAGTTGCCCGGTAGTGCCCTTTTCCTTCTTTTTTTTGGGTAAGGGTTCCCCTTTAAACTCAACCAAAAAAAACATCTTTCATTGTACAACCTGTTCGTAGGCAAAACTCTCCATCCATCCGGAGCATGGCCAAACCCCAGCGAATATTTGAAAAGGAGAGCGAAAAAGCCACGGAGAGTGCGGGTCAATGCGCCAAGTGCTTGTCAAGTGCGGTTGTCGTCCAATTTGCTGGAAGACTCGTGCGTTTTGTGGGGTGTGTGTGTGTGAGTTTCTGTCATTTGTTTGTCGGTTTGTTTTTTGGTTGGTTGGTTGTTTGATGGTTTGGTTGATTTGTTCTGTTTGTTGTTGGTTTGTCATTTCCGTCTTTCTGCCTGTCTTTCGTTATGCACTTCTTCCTTTATTCCTTCCTTTTTCCCCTTCTGCCTTCCTTTCTTTCGTCCTTTCTGTATGTTCTTATGAATCGGTTGCGGCCAGTTGAAATCGAAAAGGCTGGATGGGATCCAAATCCCAAGCCCGATTTGGGGACTTCCTGAAAACCGCCGAGTCCGCTCTTTCGCCGGTACCTCGAACATGCCGAATCCAAGACAAAGCAAGCTGAAGGGTTCAACATGTAGTGCATGTAGTGGTGTGGTAAGGCCGACTCACTGCGTTCAAGAGTTTTCCTGGTCTTGGCCCTAGAGGTTTTGCCATGTATTTGGGGCATGTACTGCGGGGGGGGGGGGGGGCAGGAGGGGTAGATTTTGTTCCTGGTCTGTATTGTTTCTTATTTGTTTAGTTCTTGATTTCTCAACTTATTTGTGTCTTTAGCTATTTGTTTGGTCTCTATTTCTCTCTTCACTTTCTCTGTTAGGTACTTGATGTATTTGTTACTTTGTTTTCTTTCACGTTTTGTTTCTTTTTTGTTGTGTCTGTCAATATGTTTTTTTTTTTTTGTTTACTCCTTGTTTACTTATTGTGTTGTTATTTATGTCTTTCTCTATGCCTTTCTTTGTTGCCTTTCTTATTTATGGATTTGTTTATATTTGTTTATTCATTGCTTCATTCATTTATTTACATGTTTGTGCGTGTTTATGTATCTTATTTCTTTCTTGATTTCGGTTTGTGTTTTTCTTGTTATTGTTTCTTTGTCTCTTTTTTTTCTTGTGTGTGTGGTTCATTGTTTCTTTGCTTGTTGAACAGGTGCTCGATTGTGATTGGGTTCCACTGCCTCTCATACAGATCCCATCCAAGCCTCACTACAGTTGCAAGTGGGTAGCTTACGATACTGTTGACATGCGTAGCCTGGTACAAGTACGTGGTGTAGTATTTGTTTGGCTTACCTTCGCGCCGTTTCTCCATGAACAACCAGTTGCATCATGGCGCCTTTAGGGCCCCCGTGTGGATCCTGACGTCAGTTTGCACCGCCTCTTCAGAAGGCCCAACACAGGACTTTTTTTCACAACCCGCATGTTGTACAGCATCAATATTGGAAGTCTTCACAGTATGATGGATCTTTTAATCCCACCAAGCCTGCTACCAATTACTCCCTTAAGCATTCAACATTGGCTTGTTTTGGAGTACATACCCGTTTTGAGCATGCTTCAATGGTAAACCAAGGAACACCCGTTTGTGGGGGGCGCTCTCTGGACGGACCTTGTGGGTCCCATGTCAAGAGTATGAGCTGCTGGCGAGGTCAACGTCCTCTTGAGACTCTTGACGACAACGCAGCTGCCTCAGCCCTCTGAGATTGTAACTTGTTCAGACGTTGAGATCCCACAGAGTCCAGTAGTTTGTTTAAGATTTGCCGGCTTGGGAATCTAGTGCTTGACAAGTTCGCTTTCACCAAATCCCGAACCTTTACTTAATATGGAGTACTTGGACTCTCTAGGAACAATTTCAACTTTGGCATATTTCATTCTTACTGATTCAGAGCCATGGCCAGCGGAGCCAACAGCCCAATTGACTAGTGACTGTTAGCCCTACGGGCCACGGCATGACTCCTATACTACTCAGAGGTTCCCCCTTTCAAAGGGGAAAGTCATTGCGGGATTGCTCTGACTCAAAAGTTCCGAAGTCCGAAGCCAAAGAGCCGCAGGATCCGCTGGCCGCGACTCCTTGTCGCCAAAAGCGCCGGTCGTTGACCAAGGTTGTTCCTCGCCTCTTCCAGGCATGCTGCGAGAGCCCCAGAACCGCAGATGGCCTCGGGGAAAACCACGTCGGGCCCCTTTTTTGGGCCTCCAAAAGATTGAAGCCACCAGCAAGTTGGGACATCCAACCCCTGAAGCGCCCAATAAACTCCATTCCCAGGAAAAACCCGGACTCCTTTCTGAGCCCAGGCCTACTCATTAAAGGGCTACTCATTAGGCAAGCTGCATGTCATATTGATTCAGTTAAGTCTGTATCATTCAGCAACTTCCTGATGCGCTGTTGTATCTCAGTATCAGGTTGCTTTGATCAGCAGGCTAGGCGCGCAAGTTTCAATCGCTATTCAATATTCACAGGAACATTATCAGACATCAATCGACAACATTGACAAGCATTCAAAACAAACCGCAAGTATCAAACAAGTCCGGCCAACATCTGACACTATTAAACGCATATTCAGACAGCTATCAAACCTAGTCAACAAAACGGAACGGCCCAAATTCTAGTACTTCCCAAGTTGTGGTTGGTTGAGACCGGTCGTGGTTGGTGATCTGCCAGGTTGATTCTGATCGGTGGCTTGTGGTTCATTGGTTGTGGTTGGTGTTCTGCTGTTTTGCTTTGGTTGGTTGGCTATGGTTGGTTAATTGTGGTCGGTTGATGGGTCGGTCGATTGGTCGGTTGGTTGGCCGGGCTGGCTTGGGTTGGGCAGGGCTGCGCTGCTCTACAGTGAGCAGGTGGTTGGTTGCTGGCTTGCTTGCTTGCTTGGTTGGTTGGGTTGGTTGGCTGGTTGGTGGGTGGGTTGGGTTGGTTGGGTTGGTTGGGTTGGTTGGGTTGGTTGGTTGATTGGTGGGTTGACACCTGAGCACGATTGTCGGATATCCAATGCACATCCCCCGTTGTTGAATGATTTTCAAGGTATGTGACATATATGTCTGAATACCCCTTGCATTGAGTGCCCTTCATTTGAAGACTCTATCCTCATAAGAAGACCATGGCTGGAGTTTTGGTGCCACGTGCAGAATGACATCCTAGCTTTGTTCAAATACCCAAGCACTGCATGTATGGAATGTCTACCCACATGTTCCCTCCTAAGCATTTGTCAAGAGTTCATATGTGTCAATTAACTATATATTATACATATGACTCACTACATGGTTTTTGTGGTTTAGCGCACCAGGCCCTCTCTTTTTTCAGGCTTGGCGCCGGAGGTGTTCTCTTGTTTTTGTTCTCTACGAGGCCTGGCTACTGGCCATTCTCCATGCGCTCATGGTTCCTCAGAAGCAGGAGGAGAAGGACACGCGACCGATCGCAGCAAATCGGTCGGGATGGAGCGCGTTACGCGGTTACGCGGGCGGGCCCCGCTTTCCTTGGCGACCGGAAACTTGTTTCCTCATGGCTGTTCGGTATGCATTCCGGTATGTTCCTTGGACTTGTATGGGGGTATGCCTTTGTTTCATACTTCATTCTGTTTCATTGGCCTTGCATTCCGGTAGGCCGTTCGACTTGTTCCTTGGACTCTAATGCATTCCCGGGTTTATGTCTGAGTCGGCACTGATCTCTCCTGCACGCGACTGGAGAGTTGTTGGCAAGGGGGTTTTGGGTTTGGGGGGGGGGTGTGGGCGCGCAACCAAAATGCAGCGAGTGCAGAAAGGAAGCATGCTGGTATGTTTGGTCGTCGCCTTATCGTTGTGCACCATTCAAGCGCTTGTGCTTTGATTGATTTTTGTTTGCAAAAACTCCTTTGCAAAAGGATAAGCCGCCTGCAGAAGGCAAAGAGGCAGCAGGGGAATGGGAGGGCGAGAGGGTGACATGGGTCCATGGTCATTCTTCCAGATGAGGTCAGTTGTGTTTTCGGTCGCTGGGCGTAGTATAATTGAGGCTCAGCATGAAAATAGCCCACAATGGCACTTACACTGAAATTGGCGAGGCACGCCCATACTGAGCCCATGGCCATTTTCGGACCTTTCGCGGGCTGGCTTCCAATACTCAAGGCATACTCACTGCTGAATTGATTAGTAAAGTAGGGGTTCACGCCAGGCGATTATTATATTTATATATGCCTTCTGCCAGAGGAGAGCTGTGGTGTTGACCCTGAATTAGCAGCTGTGACAGTTACCGTTACCGACAGGCAAAGGAGAAAAACGAGAAGGGCGAGGAGCCTTCGCCCATTCGCTCGTGCTACATGCTTCTGTTTGGGCACCAGTCACAAGTCAGCAGCGTACCCTCCAAAAAAGCAAAGCGACGCCTGCGATGTTTCTCACAATGGCGAA